AATAAAGGAGCAAACAGACAGACATTCTAAAGAAAGCTGCATCTGAATACATAAAGCTAAAAAAAGCATTTGTTGTGCACTCAAAACACAATAGACATTATGTTATAGGTTCATATTCTAGCTGGTATCCAAACACTGGAGATATTCTTATTAGAAGCAGGATTTAAACAGGAGGGATGGCGGGCCTTCTGGGTGCCTGTGCTAAGACACTAAGTCCTCTTTACATGTTTCCTCACATGGCTTGAAGAACCCATCTTAAGAGGCCTCTACATTAAAGTAAAAAAAAAAAAAACATAAATAAGGAAGCAAAGATGTTCTCCAAAGTGCTATTTCCATGACAAGCAAAATCTAACACCCATCACAAGTCAGCACACACAATAAACCAAAGCCTTGTCCTACCCTGTAAAATGTTCCTGTTCAAAGAATTTAAAGGCAGGCATAAAACTCTAAGCCTTGCTTAATTTAACAAGACAGTCCAATCTGCATGTATAAAAGAGGAATTTATTACGAGTGGCATGTGGCTCAGTGGGAGGGGCCTTGCTTAGAGCTGAGCTCTGTCTGTGGCACCTCAGAGGGGAGGAAGGGAAGGGAAGCGCTGACACAGAAAGCATTAGCACTGAGTGCATGTTTGCTTCTCTTTTTATATTTCCCCACTGTGCACATCACAATAGTTCTGCAATAGAAAAGCAAGGAACAAAGGTCAAAAACAAGGCAAAAGAAGGATGTGATGGGTTGTGTGGTTTGTGAACTTTTTACTGTCACTGCCTCCTTCAGAAAGGCCAGTCCTGACTTCTACTAAATCAATCATAAGGGGTGCTAACTGGGCCATATAGCCCCTGAAACTTCCAGCCTATGAGCTCAACCTCCCCACACAAGACCCAAAGTCTGGAATGATGGTTTTCCACCCAAGCTTCTCAGGGGCCTCTGTTAGCTGGACAATAGATGAGAGAAGCTGGGCCGCTGATACAAAACGGTACAAGCAGATGAGGATTTAAAGGTTGATTGTATCAGCTTCTCTCCCTGCAGGTGGAGAGTACCAGAATGCCCGTGTTTAATGACTTGACCTAACACCTGGATAATCCAAAACCTGCCCTCTAAATAGATGTTTCAAATGCTGGAGTTTGCTTCCTGCAAGGCCCACTCTAGACACAAGATGGCACTAATGATACTCGACTGAGCTGATAACCGCAGCAAAAGGAATCAAAAGCAAAGACTCGCTCACAGGCCAGAAACCCGAGAATAAAATCACACAAGAAAAAAGTAGATGTCGTAGTAACACACTTTTGTCTGGGTCACAGGAGCCAGGTGGTTTTGTTTTTGTTTGTTTGTCTGCTTTTGTTTTTGTTTGTTTTGGTTATTTGTGTTTTCAAATACATGTAACAGGCAGAACAGGGTGGTGGGAGCACCCTAGTCCAAAAAAGAGGTCCTTTGTGAACCTATCTTGTTTCGCCCCAGATAGAACTTACTGGCTTTTCTGTGTTTCCATGTATTTGAAAACTGACACAGCAGTAATGAGAGACCCATTTTTCAGGGACATTGGTGGGGGCTGAGTTAGAATGCTGCCCAGACATCATGGCCCCCCAAAGTACTCCCAAATCAACCATGCCCTGGCTGGGAGGGCTCCAAAGCTCTTCCTCCAAAGTCATGTTTTAGTTTTTACACTTAGCTATAGGATCAATTTTGAGATTAAATTTATACAAGGTTAAAGTTCTGTGTTTTCACTTAACTGACCGATTGACATAAGACCATTTGTTTGTTTGGTTGGTTGGTTGGTTTTTTTGGGGGGGGTGTTGAGACAGGGTTTCTCTGTGGCTTTGGAGACTTTCCTGGAACTAGCTCTTGAAGACCATGCTGGTCTTGGACTCACAGAGATCCTCCTGCCTCTGCCTCCCAAATGCCATTTGTTAAAGAGAGTTCATTTATTTAAATGCTGCTTTTGCAAGTCAGCAAATATGCATAGACTATGTTTGTGTGGGTCGATTTCTGTCCCTTGATCTATTTGTCAATATCACATTTTTCCAATTACAGCTTCCTGCTAAGCCTTTACATCTGTGCACTCTGACTCCTTCTATGTCATTTTTCTCCTTCAATATTGTTTTGGCTATTTATGTTCCTTTTCAAATAACTTTTGTATAAAGTCTGGAAGCAGTTTGTCTATATCGCTAAAAAATTCCAGCTGGGCAGTGGTAGTGCACACCTTTAATCCCAGCACTTGGAGGCAGAGGCAGACAGATCTCTGTGAGTTCAAGACCAGTCTACAAGAGCTAGTTCCAGGACAGCCTCCAAAGCCACAGAGAAACCCTGTCTTGAAAAACCAAAAGAAAAATTCCTGTAACAGGACTGAGGAGATGA